AAGCGGGTGTGAATAACCATGCAAATATACATGGTGCCCTCAATGTTACAATTACCTATTCGATATTCCGGTTAAGCACACACGCTCCATAGAAATATGACAAACAATGAGTCACCCTTTGCCACCTTTTCTTAGAACCAATTAGTGTGCCGGTTAACCACACACGCTCCACTAACTTCTTAGCAAGGGTGCAAAGTGTAATGTCATGGGACTGTATCAATTCACTTTTGCCTAAAGTAACTAGGATTGGGAATTTTGTAAAAACGTTTAGTTACTTTATATAGTTTCATTATACTTATTAATGAAGAGAGGATTGCCCTATCCTACCCGTTCGGCTAACGATCGTCCACTAATCAAGGAAGCGGTGGGTAAGAGTGGATACCCATTAAACGGCCATTTTATAGGGCATAACCTTACACCCCCCTTATAGATCGGCTTGGTGAATGAGACCTACTAACGGTAAGACTAGCATTTTAGTTATACATACATACATACATACATACATACATATATATATATATATATATATATATATATATATATATATATATATATATATTAATCTTGTAATAATATAATAGTAGATGGTGTATTTTAAACATTTTTAAAATACTAGGGTTTTAATTTCAATTTAAAATTTTTGAAATTTATAACCTTTAAATTAAATTTTAAATATTAAAACTCTTGATTTAATAATTATCTAAATTAAACAATTAATTTGAATTACTAAATCATAAGGGATTATCTAAAATTAAACAACTAATTTTATCCTAATCCCTTAAATCCCTCTAGATTCGAAAATATGGGATGGGATAGTTCAAAATCTTTAATTACCATATTTAACCATTAAAGGATGAATATAAGATATGGGATTATCCAAATCACTAAATTTTAGGATCTTATCTTGGGGAGGAGGCATATCTCGAAAATCCTAGGGTTTGCAAACCCTAGATTTCGAAATCTTGGGCAAAAAGGAAAGGTATTGAAAACTCTTATCAAAAATTCAAAAACTAGGGTTCAAGAACCCTAATTTCGAAACCCTTGCCTCCTAGGGTTTATTTTCCATAAACACTAAATTTTCAAATTCATACAGTTGTATAATTCTAATTGAAAACAATTTAACCATAAGCTCTGATACCACTGATGGGTTTTATACAAACAATCCTATGTGTGCATGCAACCCAAGATTAGGATCTATGTTTTCTCTATTAGATACACAAACTTATGAACACAAGAAGAACCCTAGAATGCATCTATATATTTTGAAATTTATATACTATAAGGGATTGCATACCTCTTGTTGTTATATTGTAATAACAATACAAATCTTCAATATCTTTGTCTTGAAAGCAAGTACCATAAGTGTAGTACCTCTAATGGCTCACAAACACCACAAGCAAATGGAAACGCAAGAGAGAGATAGGGGAGAGGAAGGAAATCGGCTCTAAGCTTTCTTAGGATCAAGTGGTCGATTTCCCTTAGCCAAGGTGTCTTTATATAGGGTAGAGATTAGGGTTTCAGTCCTTATCCTTATCTAGTTGCTTTCCCACCAAGCAATTCATAAGATAAATCCTTGGACAAATTCTAGGGCCTTATCCCCCTCAATTCATCCACCCCTTCCTTGGGGCATCCATTGCCCTAATCTGCAACTATCATATAATTACAATTCAGCCCCTCTAGTTTAATTAATTACATTTCATCACAAAATTAATTCTTATTTAATTATTGACCAATATTAATTAAACAAATATGATTTCTCCTTTAATATATTATTCTTATAATATATTAATAAATCATAATAACCTCTTTCTCTATCATTTCTCCAATCAAGTTGCTTTAGTGAAGGCAACCCAAAAGGACCATGCACAACCGGGTCAAGTACTTACCAAATATGGTCACGGGCTTAGACACTAATCCAACAGATTTTTGGGTTTTTTCTGATCATTTATATGATTGTTTTCAAAATGTTGATGTGCATGTACGAAGAAGGTTCGTGTTTTGGTTTAGGTTCTAATGATGATTCAATTGGTGGGAGGACTACCAAGGTTTTGAATTCGCGATGTATTGAGGATATGGGAACGTGTCTTCTCCACCAGTCCATTTCCCATAGTAGCCAAGGTTTACTTTTCCTTGGATCTATTGCATCATGCATCAAGGAATTGGTGGAAATTGATTGCACAATCTATGATGCTTATTGAGTTGGATACTATGTCTTGGGAAGAGTTTAGGACCTAGTTCTTGGTGGAGGATGCACCCGTTATCTTAGTGCAGCCGTTGGCAAGGGAGTTTGTGAGTGTCTTAGGGTGCAAGGCCCCAAATGAAGGGATTGCTAGAGAGAGTGAGCGGGAGATTGATTTGGAGCACCTCAGGAAGAGGAAGGCAGATCTGTTTCAAACTGTAGTGAGCCAAACAGAAAGGCCCAAAGCCCAAGGTCGGGGTGGACATAGGTAAGGGGTATTTTATTTGGAATCATATGGGTCATGTTTTTAGGGATTGCCCTCTAGAATCAATTTACATATGTTTTTGCTGCAACGAAGTGGGCCATAGGAAGACCGATTATGCAGAGTTGATGAGAGGAATGGTGAGGATGCCCTCTCCCTTTACTATGAGGATTATTGATATCCACGAGTGCAAAGTGGAGGTTCCTATGGTGAGGCGGGAACATTCCAGTCACATGTCGAGGGGATCCGAATTCCATCAGTCGAATCTACATGTATTTATTGTATTATTTTCCTTCATGCTCTTATTATTTATGTTTATCATAGTAGGTGTGAGATGCTATGCGGGGTGTATATAAGTTGCCATATAGAAATTTAGTTTTCTTCATGATGATCTAAAAAAAATATTCTTATGACATTTTGCAAAATATGGACGGTGTTTAGAAAAGGATTCAGTATCCCACTTAGGATTCAGGAGCGCTCCTAGTCGTTAGTGGGATCAGCAAGAATTCTAGGAATTCATAAGGTAGGCATGTCGAGTTTGATTGCAGGAATGTGAAGGTTCTTCATGGTCTGGAGACAATGAGGGATAGGTGTGATCGTGGGTGTAAGATCAGTAGTTTTCAAGTTCCCATGTTTACAACAGAGTTAGTTGTAGGTCCACATGGAAAGTTGCTCTAAGTCCAAGCGGGTCGTGGATAGGTGTGATCATGGATGTAGGATCAGTAGTTTTCAAGTTCCCACCTTCGCAATAGAGTTAGTTGTAGGTTCACATTGAAAGTTGCTCTAAGTGCAAGTGGGTCGTGGAGATGGTTGGGTAACCACTTTGATATTTGAGATGTTCTTCACGAACAATCGACCCATCGCACCAAGGACTAGTTGTTGATTCAACGGAAGGTGCCTAAAGATCTTGAGATTCGATAACGTATTAGGAATGATCACTCAGCCTTGGAAGGTAAAAACGATAGGCATGGTTGGTTAAGGAAGACTAGCTGATGTAAAGCTTAGTATGTCGACTGCTACCATCAGTAGGGATTGCACAGTGGTAAAGCATTCCTCATAGGTAATGGGGAGCATCATTCACATGGGTTACTTTTGTCATTAGGTTTGTCAATGGAAATCAAATGTTATCTTTCGGTGAACTTTAAGTATCTCGAGCCTTTAGCAGGTGATTTATTGAATTGATGATCTATCTGTCCCGATTAAGGGTTATAGTTCCATGCCACAAGGTGGAGTGGATTAAGGATTTGGAGTTGTATTGTGGGAAATACATGGAATTAGCGTGCTCGTTGAGTTTTTGGGGAGTATTCATCTAGTTTTGAAACGTGTGTGATCATTGTGATTGTCTAGTATTGGAATGCTAGTTCTTGTAAGCCCTTGTTGTTAATAAGTTAAATTTATAGGTTGCGAGATAGAGGGGAAATCCATCGAACATTGAGGAGTGGAAGAGCGCAATGAAATCAATGTCGGAGAGAATCATTTGGTCTCAGGGGTTGCACCAAAAAGGACGTTAATGTTTCATTGCTCATTGGTAGTGATGCATGGTGGGTATGTGGATGGATCCAGGTCGAGGGTGATGTTAGAGCTTCCTTGCCTGTTATTCTTTGATTAAGGCTGTTGGGTTCGAAGCACGACCTGAACATTTGGTTGGGATATAGTTAGACGTAGGTTCGACTTAGGACGATTTTGAATGGAATGGTGTATATGTGGTAATACCATTAGCGGTGACCATGGCATAATAGGAGTTTTGTAAGACTACGGGATGGTTGTAACGTTTAATAGTTTGACAGGTTATCTGGTAGAGTTGTAAGATTGTGTGGTGACTCCTAGCCTTTACTTGGTGCGTGAGCAACTATGAGGGTGTAGTGAATCGATAGAAACAATAAAATAATGATCGATAGATTCAAAATAGTTTATATGAATCAAATAACAAGAACAGAGATAGAATATGAATGAAAGGGTGCCAAATGCTTTACTATCAGTATCTTAGAAGTGTTCAAGTATAACTTCTCTATAAATATACGTAGGGAAATCAAACCATTAACCCTAAAAGGGTACATGCATATTAAATTTATATTCTAACCCTAGCACCATAATGACGGATGGACACACCCAAACCGTTAAAAATAAATACTATATACATGCATAATAAGTTTTGACACAACATAATAGATAACCCAAAAATCACCCCTTTTGTCTCAAAATAAGGAAGATTCTTCGATGTTGGAGGTCAACATCATTTTTAGATGTGTGACAATGGGCTCGAATTTCTGTTCATCCTTTAATAAGAGATGGAACAAGGAAATCCAATCAAAAGGGTGAAGACATGGAAGTCTGCGAGTGTAAACTCAAAGACTAAACTTTTTGCTCCACGGATAACTTTGAGTTTGGCATTGATAAAGCTTTTCATTTCAATTAGCTCGATGACTTTCACAGCTGTAATTTTCATTGAACTCCAACTTTAATACTGAGGCTTCCAACATAATAGTCATTAATGGGAGCTTTCTTAATCTTTTCAAAACTACGAAACAGGTAAGCCTTCAGAGTTATCGGTAGATCAAGCTACGAATCCAAAGTGTTCTCTAAATCGAACGAAACAACTGGATCTAACCAATAAATACTTGGATTTTCGACGGCTTCATTCATGATATGCTCTATAGTCAAAGTAGGGAAAATAGACTTTTCGGTTTCTAATGTTACCTGAGCATCACAAAGCTCTTTTTCACGAGCATCAGCTTCTCTCGCAATACGTAGATTTTCATCAAGATCTTTATCATGAGACTTTCTTTATAGCTGTGCCTCTTCATCCTCTTTTTCATCATCATCATCAGTCATCTTTCCTTTTCCTTTTGATCGAGAAGCTTCATTACCCTTCGGATCGTTTGACTTCGGTTTCTGTTCTTGTTCACCAAAACCATCAGTAGAAGGAGTCCTAGGCTACAGAGCGTCCTTTCTGATTTTCTTCTTTGGAGTTTGAGCTAGCTCGGAGGGGCCAACCTTTTCCTGTCACTTACCTCCCTTTTTAGGATTGTTCGCTTCATCCAAAGGCTTTTGCATCTCAGGTGTTAAAGGACGAGGACCAGATGCTGGTTTCTTCTGATACTCGTTGATAAGCTTGTTATTTGTTGGAACATAGTTGATCATTATCTCTGAAATTGAGGCAAGAAAAGTTAACTTCGTAGGATCAGACACAATAATGTTTGAAGTGTGATCCATTGGAATACCTGCTATAATACATCTTTCAGTCACCGAAATGTTGAGTCAATTGATGGCTCACTAGAGGATGACAGACCAGAATCGAGCACATGAGATCTCTAAGTGTCTTGTTGTGGAAACAACGCTTAGATCTAGTTGTTACCAAAGGATAGAACCACAATCTAAGTTAATTCCATGATATAATCCGTAGATAATAGTGTAGAAAACCTTACTTGCATTCTCAGAGCCCGTGACCTGTTATGAAAAACTTTTAAAGAGAAGGGTAAAAAGGCCATTCCACATCAGAGGTAGGTTTGGCTTATAGAACTTTGATAAAATGGCAAGATTTCCCACGTAACCTATCTGGTAAAACACATCTAGAATTGCAGACAAAGAGATGGAATCCAGATGAACCAAATCCATAGCTTGAGATAGCCCTAGCAATCAACTAAAACGGGACTTGGAAATTGAGGTTTTATGAGACTCGATTTCGAAATTAATCACAGACTCACCATCTTGATATCTTGCAGTGGAGAATGTCTTGGATAAATGAGCCAAGGGGACATTCTCAGCCATGGTAAGGGTCGGATAAAAAGGTGAGTGACGAAGGCACTCAACCATCGACTGGAGGGAGACATCATATTGTGATGATTCAAGGTCCATGATGAGATTCTAGTTGGATTTGATGTTTAGTAGCCCCAATGAAGCGGTTTGGTCTCGCATAGATGGTGTTTCAAAAGAACTGGATATTGATGCAGATGGAGAAAACGAAGTGTTTGAGTTAGAGTATTTTCTTAAGAGATTTGAAAGTGATGAGGAAGTAAAGCGTCATTTTTCCTTATATACGCTATGGGTAGATAGAGAAAGCCAGCTGTAAGACTGTTCATTTCCCTGAAAAGTCGCCTGAAAAAGTGTGACTGACATGCATGATGTCAGACGACGTAACTGAAAAAGCGTGCAATCAGGAAAATTTAAAAAGCATGCACCAAATTTTTGAAATAATATCCCTTTAGAACAGTCGTTTTAATTATGCACATTCGGAATTCAGCAACATTCACCATAACCTATTCTCGGAGTTGAAAGTAATCATTCGGAGGTTAGAACCAAAATTTTGGAAAACCAGGAGGATTTTCGTGCAAGAGTGTGCCAAAGATAAAGAAATAAAACAAAATATATTTGGGATTCTATGATGTTAATTAAAATTTAACATAAAGGCAGATGGATCCCGGTGACGATCTCTTTCTTCGGAGTCAAGGGATACTCAAAAGTGCTTGCATGGCTTCCCGTTGAATTACGATCACCTATTTGTTGAAATAGTGAAAGGCTTCTATTCATTAGGCTTTAATGGGTGGCTTTGCTTTAACCAAACTACAAAACTCAACATAAGTCTGAAGGTATGTAAGAAATACTTGTTTGACCAATGTAACAATAATAACAAGTATGCTTTGGATTCATTTAAGTGATTGGATAAAAAATGTCTTTCACTTAGGTCAAGAGCAGTCCATTAAGATCTCGCAAAAACAAAAATGATGAGATTTCAAGGTAAAAACTATGAGGGTTTATTTTCGTCAATTCCATGGTGATAAACTAGAACTTATTAATTGTTCCCCTCAATACATAAATAGGATTCAGATTTTTGGGTTTCACTTAAATAGTGGTGATAATAATTTGAAGGTCATAAACACAGAATTTGTGTAACCATAAAGCTCAGTGGTAATTTCTGAGAGTCTCAAGGGTTACAAATGTGAAAGTGAAGGTAATGGAGAAATGATAAGGTGGTTCCAAAGATAAAAATGTACCTCTGCTATATTGTGAATGGCTAAGCGGTCAACTCTTAACTCAATATGAGAAGAGTAAGGTAGCTTAATGAATTATGTGAATATTGTTGGGTTTTGAGCATTCTAATACTCCTAAGTGTACATGCAACCCTAAATACCTTGGATCTATGTTTTCTCTATTATACATGAAAATATCAATATTCTAAGGTATTACCCTATCTAGCATACAATCTTTTGATACTTGGGTAATATAACAAGTTAGAATACATACTTGTATGATGTAGCTGTTGGGTTTTGAGCATTCTAACACTTCCTAAGTGTACATGCAACCCTAATAACCTTGGATCTATGTTTGTCTAATTATCATGCAAAGTTGATTTCCAAGGCTATGATCCTATCTAGCATACATGGGGGAACAATTTTAACTTGAATAATAGATAGAACTACATACCTTGTTGTTGTAAGTGTTCCTTGAAACCTTGTGAGCCTAGCACCTCAAGTGTGATGCCTCAAATGCTTCACACAACACCAAATGCAAATTATAAACTTGAGAAAATACTCTAACACACTCAAAATCGGCCAAGCCCTCTTGTTTTCTCTAGTGTAACTGATTTTGGGGAGAGACATGGTCCATATATAGTGTGCTGCATTAGGTAAAACCCTAATGTAACATGACTCTTCATTTCTTAATCCATGGGTTAATTCCATGGAGCATCCTATGGGTGGAACCCAACTTGATAATCCATGGAGCGTTTTAGCCCACTATATAAGATATGGAAGATTTACATAATCTACCCATATATTTAATTAGTTATTCTTTTGATCACTTAATTAATTCTAAATTAATTCCTGATCAAAACTAATTAAATAATATTATTAATATATTAGAACTTATAATATATTAATAAACCACATGTGTTATTTCTCTCAATTAGTTTATCCAATTGCATTGTGCCATGCAACCCAAATGGACCATGCTGGGTCGGGTCAAGTATTAACCAGGAATAGTTATGGACTTAGACACCTTATCCAACAGTCTCCCACTTGGATAAGTCTAATAACTATAACTGCAATTCTTCAGGAACCGATCGTCAATCGTAGCTCTTTCAAGGTCTATCGGGACTAAGAAGATGTTGATACGCCATTTAAGATAAGTGATCATATAATCCTCTGTTCTACATATAAGTCGGACAAATACATGGAACAATGTCTTACTTATTATCCAGCAGTTTGTTTCCCAATTTCTGATTTGTTTGACAAAGAACGTAATTCAACACATCAACTTAGTTCTGACCGGACCTGGTACATAGGTCAAAACAAAAATAATCGAGGGGCCCAGATATCATCTTCTAATCTAAGAAGGAACAGATAAACTTCGACTCATATGTTTGTTCTACCACTCCTTGAATTACACACAAAAGCACGTTTTATAATACCGAGTTACCAATGCATTTTCGTACAATCAATGCATAACCAACTCGTAAGTAACAAATCATATCTCCAGGTTTGAAGACTTATATGATATTACCGTCTCACGATCACTCGAGATAAAATTCCATGAAGTGATTCCAGTGAGCGTGGGTTGATTCCAATACTCAGAACTTATGAGCACTCATGAAGAGTTGTCTTATATTCTGACACCTACAACCAACTTCATGACAGTCTTACTTCATATCTACTTGCAACATATGACTGACAGTGGAAAATTTGAATAATATGTGATATCACAACATACTATTCTGGAAGTCAAAACATGCAAAAGAAATTATAGCAAACGATTGACAAAAGATAGTAACACTTTACTCATAAATAAACACAACTTTTATTCATCATCAATTGTCAATTACACTTTACAAATTTCATAATTTATCTAACTACTAAAACCCATATCATCCTTCAGCCCTATGCTCCAAGAATGCTAGAGATGCTTAACCCTACTCAGTCCCTTCGTGAGGGGATCTGCTGGGTTCTCATCCGATGATACCCTCTTTGCTACAAGGATTCCTTCTTCTATGTGATGTCTGATAAAATGATATTTTCTGTCGATGTGTCTGGATCTCCCATGATCCCTTGGTTCCTTGGCTAAGGCAACAGCACTTTCACTATCACAGAAAATTTCCATGGGCTCCTTTATAGCTAGTACAACTCCAAGGTCTCCAATGAAGTTCTTTAGCCATATTTCCTCCTTTGCTGCCTCGCTCGCTACTATATACTCTGATTCACAAGTGGAATCGGCCACTGTCTCCTGCTTGGAACTCTTCCAAGTGATTGCTCCTCCGTTTACGATAAAGACCTAGCCCAACTGAGAACAGAAATTATCCCTATCAGTTTGCAAGCTAACAACACTATACCCTACAACTCTCAAGTCATCACTCCCACCGATGGTAAGGACCCAGTCCTTAGACCTCCGTAGGTACTTGAGGATATTCTTTACCGCAGTCCAGTGTGCCTTGCCAGGATTCCCCTGATACTTGCTAACCATGCTCAAGGAAAAAGCTACATCAAGTCAAGTACACGTCATAGCATACATGATCGAGCCTACTGCTGAAGCATAAGGTACTTGACTCATTTCTGCTATCTCATCCTCGGTACTTGGGCTTTGTGTCTTACTCAATATGGCGTTACTCTGGATGGGTAACTCTCCTTTCTTGGAGTTCTGCATGCTGAATCTCTTCAACACCTAGTCCAAGTATGTACTTTGACTAAGTCCAATTAGTCTTTTACTTTGGTTTCTCAAAATCCTTATCCATAGAATATAGGCAGCTTCTCCTAGGTCCTTCATAGAGAAACACTTCCCAAGCCAGGACTTAACTTCCTGCAGAGCTGGGATGTCATTTCCTACAGGTAGTATGTCATCCACATAAAATACCAATAACTTAACTATATTCCCACTAGCCTTGACATAAACACAAGATTCATCTTCATTCCTAGAACAGCCAAATTCCTTGACCTTTTCATCATAGCAAAGATTCCATCTACGAGGTGCTTGCTTCAATCCATAAATGAATTTCTCAACCTTACACACTCTATTAGGGTACTCGTTGCTGACAAAACCTTCTGGCTGACTCATGTAAACATCTTCAGTCAACTTTCCATTAAGGAAAGCGGTTTTGACATCCATTTGCCAAATTTCATAGTCATTAAATGCTGCTATGGCTAACATAACCCTAA